CCCCCCACACACACACACACAAAAAATGCACTATTCAAACTTAAATTGTTGTAATTCATTAACGCTTTGGAATACAGAAAAATACAAATAAATGAAAGTATGAAAAAGTTACATACATATTTTACATCATAGGTTTTACTCTAAAATTGCTATAAAATTAAAGCAATATGTCTAAATAAGTAATGTTCCAAATTTTAAGTCGAAAAAATTGATTTATCAGATTTTATTTAGGCGTTATATCAAAAACAGCCACCAGGTGACACCCAATGGCCACTGAATTTTTGTATGCATTTTCCTGTCACAAATTTATTGCTTTTACAATATTACTTCTATCACAAAATACCAAATATGGAATCCTAAGACTCAGACTTTTCTGACGATATGTATTTTGTCAAAATTATAAAAGGTTTTGATTGGTATTGTTTTTGATGTGGGACGGTGACAGTTAAACAGAAAGCACACACAATGCAAAAGCGACAGTATTTCTTGTGCACTCCGTGTTCAAATTCGCTTACTCATTTTCATTAACTTCTACAAGTGAATTATATTAGTGGACTAATGTAGGGAACAGTGAATGAGTGTATGAGGGGGATTTTGGACATGCTTGTTTTGCTGCAAATATTTTGAGCAAAAAAGACTATTCAAAAAAGATGCTGAACAGCAACATTGCCTTTGAAAGGTGGAGTGCGCCACCTACAGTTCTGGAGTAATTGATTTTAGTTCAAACTGACAAATTAGTTTTGATCTCTGCAGTGTTTAGACCATTGTTTGGTGATTTGTTTAAATGTTTGGTGTGTTGGCTTTCACTCTTAAAAGAAAGAGACAGGGCTGCATAAAACCCAATTTTGGGGGTAAATGCAATTAAAACTAATAGGACTTTCTCAAAGACATGTAAAGACAAAGGTCAAGGCAATGTTGTCATACAATTAACCAACACTAACTTAATTCTGTAAGCGTTTTTCACCTCTTTGGAATCCAAGTTGTCTAGACTACTTACACAAATCCAGTAACAAATTTGGTTCCTGTGCCCTTAAACGATGAGAAAAGTTTGGAAGGTGACTCTCTGACCCATTACATGCCCAAATAAACCCAGGCAGCTCAGTGTCCTTGAGTTTAATAGCATGCCTGAGTGTGAGATATCAGGTGGTTGGCATTACGGTTCAGCGAGGCCAGAAGCAATTTAAGTCTCAAGGCATGAGAAAATCCCTTCCAAGGCATCTACGTGGAATTGACTGCATTTGATCCTCACCTCCCGATCTCACAATACTCTCATGTGTGCGGTGGGCATAAAACTATTCAGTGTTTACATGATAGCACTATCTTGTTGAAGGAAAGAACAGCTACTGGCTGACTCAAGAGAATGTAGCTCTTTGTCAGAGAGGGCAAGCTAGTTATTGACCTCTTTCTCTGGTGCTCGAAATACTTGGCACAACCACGTGTAACAGGTACGGACACTGGCATTGAGCTCTGCCCAGCCCTGGTATGAAGGATGAAATTCATGGACTTCTACAGTTCTTGGGTCAATTAACCCAAAAAGATTCCGGTCAACCAATCTTTAAGGGGTTTGAACAAGGTTCTTGTCAACTTATTGTTTGACATTGGAGATAATTAAAGAAATCTGGTTCCAGTATCAATAAAAATGATAAAACTTGGGCAACAACATTACTATCAATGTAACATCAATAACTTTCTTAAAGAACCGTAAAGTGAAAATGGTACTTGATAAGAAAAATGAACCCAGTGTCCTACAAAAGAATCGCTGAAGAACCTTTATAAGTATAAAGACCATAGTCTTCTAACATACCCTTGGGAAAGTGAACTAGATTGTATTCTTGAGAACACCAGGAGAAAACATTGGGTTCAGCACATACATTTATCTCACTACAGCAGCATTAAAGCTGAAAAAATTAGCTTATTGATCTTACCAACAGCGGGAAATCTGTGACTAAGACAATGAGATAAACTTTAAATGCGTGTTATTTATGAAACATAACAATGACCTGTTTTGAAAGAACATCTCTTGGGAGTTTGTAAATAACATAATGTCAGCTGTACCACCCTTTACAAACATGCACTGTACCATGGTAACCATAGTTTCTATCAAAATAACAGACACTACAGTTACCGTTACAACAAAACTGTAGTATCTTGTCAAGTACATGAAAACGTCTTTGAAGAGGATCCCATATTAGTTAACCATGGTGTGTTACACTAGTAAATGCATTGACATTTTGGTAGCAATTATAGTTACCATAAACATTTGTAACGGAGTACATGTTATTTGCTAGTAACACCCACACACATCAACAGCAGCTGTGCTGCTGAGTTTATTTGTTGATGCACAAGGAAACATTTCCACAGGCGAGCGACAAACTACAGAGGATGCCGTTATCACCTGACTGATGTCTTTTCTAGACATGCATGCTTGAAATGAAAAAGCGGTTAGGTAGCGTTCATAAACGAGCGCTACGAACATACTTACAGTCTTTCTTGTGAATGAACTCCACTCATTACACACATCATGAACACAGTCCACAGAGTCCAGGATTTGTGGTGGACATGTAACACTCTCATTTTGTCCCTCGTTTGTTTTGTGTTGAGTCTCGCCGGCGTGTATTCCACAAATATTCTTACAACTTCGAGTGCAAACTCAAGTAGCCTATCCACTGGGGGAAAGCACGAGTCTCCGCCGGTGTAGCGCGTGCAACGTTTTTATCCCAATTGCCAATGTTGCGTCCGTGCAACTGATTTTTTTAACTCCTCTCCACATGTACAGACAATCCCTCTTGGCGTGCTGTATTTATCCGCCTTAGTTCCGATTGCTCATATTTCAGCATTAAAACTTATCTCCATCCACCCCACCCCTTGTGTAGCACGGTATTTAATGCACATCAGATCTAGTGAGCTGAGCTCCACAGGCTGTAATGTAACCGGGGCAGTCTGCTTTTGCCCCTTTGAACTCTCCAGGCTTTTGTCTCATTCAGTGGTGTGTCAGAACAAGTCTATAGAGCCCCTCTGAGCTAGTAGAGACAAGACTGCACTGTCCCTGCAACGCCGCCTGGAAGCTACACAGGTCCGGTTGAATGAGACCGAAAAGATCCGAATGCTTTTGTCGGTTAATGTTTAGCGACATGCATTAATTTAATGCATGTGATAAATATAATTCATTTTAATTATGTAACCTAAATATTATTTAACTGAGCCGTTTCTGACACAGGCTACTGACATAATAAAAGTATGGCTTTAAAATATAAAACTTCAACCTAATGTGAATTCATTTTGATATGGAAGCGCAATAAAGGTTTTAGCATAATATAGGACACGGGCGCCCCCTAGTGGTCCTTTAGCACGAGACATTTAATATTAGCGTTACGCTGATAAAACGATACAAGAACGTTTTTGTAAATTATAGTTTTATAATGTTTTTAAGATACTGAATTAATTAAAGCGGTATTTATAGAGAAATTATAGAGAACATTATAGAGAAAACATACATATTATGTATATATGAATGCGAATATAAATGTAATATTACTATAAATATTTATATTTATATATGATTTTAAGAAATTATGCCTCTATTTGCTTAGTCACAAGCCATAATACGTAAAAATGGAGGACCTCTTAGATTTTTTTTTAATTACGAACATTATATCAACCAATAAAAAGCAGTTACAATACAAAATAATGATAATAATAATAATAATACAATTAAATATAACAATTATAATGACTAAACAAATAAATTACTAGACACTTCTTTCATCTTATTAGTAATTAAGTATCTGTTTGGAATAAGCCAAACTTTCCTCCAGGGAATATCAGAGACAAAAGCATTCCAATAAACCCTGATATTTGGAATTGATACAAAATCATAATCATTAAGAAATAACAAACGTATTGATTTATTAGAAGAAGAGGCAGAAAAGCACTGTTTGCCCACCACTGAAATAGTAGGATCTAAAGAAGGTAAAATAGAAGGATAGGGGGTCATTTGAAACAGTCTAATAACTCCAAATGGTATGGCATCAAAAACAATAGCAAATTCTTTAGAGGTAATGGGAATATTAAAACGACAAAGAGATTCTTTATAATTTAATAAGTGGCCATTTTCATTAAACAACTGATTTACGAGTAAGATATCTGCTTCAAACCAACGCTGGAGAAAAAAAAGACCTCTGAGTTTTGTCCCAGCACATTAGCATTGAGGTGACGTCACATGACGCTGTATTACGCGAACACAAACAGGAAGTGAGTGCAACAGCAGCGTGCTGCGTGACTGACCGAAACATACACATGTTGCTGGTCTGAAGATTTATCTGCCAAGCTACGAAAACACCCAAAGCACAGTTACAGCAACATGGTAAGTTAGTTTTAACTCAGCTTGTATCATATAATCACATTTAGGAATATTAAATGAATAGAAATTCTGTATATACAACGTAGCGAATTTGCTAAAGCTAGTCTATACAGAAGTAGAATTCGAATAGAATAAGGTTGGTAACAATTTAGTATAAGGACCAATTCTCACTATTAACTGAAAAAAACAATACAAACCATCACATCAATTCTAGTGGTTTCCACTACAAATACCATTACAACTCATCAACTTTTTTTTTTACCATTAAAACCATTAAAAATGTTTTGGGACATATTCCATTAGGAATTAGTGGTTTTAACAAGCCACCAATAGAAGCTGACCAATTACCCATAGAGACCAACAGGCACCATTACAATTCCCATTATAACCAGTAAAACCATTACGAATTCTGTTGTTTTTTTCAGCAGGATAGTTGCTTATTAGCATGCCCATTATTAACATATTGGCTGTTACTTACTTATAAAGCACATATCTGCCTGACCATATTCTACTTCTACATCCCTAATCCTACCCAATACCTAAACTTAACAACTAAGTTACCTTACTAACTATTAATAAGCAGCAAATTAGGAGTTTATTGAGGCAGAAGACGTATTTAATGGTTTGTTAATAGAGAGAATTGGACCTTAAAATAAAGTGTGACCATAAAGTTACATATTAACATTTATTACATATACATAGTAATAAAGTGACTTATTAACAAAATAATAATAAATCGTAAATACATTTATAATTGCATTTACAATTATATCACTAACAAAATATTACCATGTTTTTGACTGTTTAATAATATTGTATATGTACAGCAAGGGATTCATATAGTTCTTAGTCTTTTAGATGTTTGTGACTTCTGTGTCTATTCTGTTTTTTCTTTTTTAAAAGGCACCTACAGATTTCAAAAATTTGGTCAGAAGATTTTATGTACTTCAAGCTGAGCGTGTGGAGGCATACAAGCTATTTGAGGAGTCAGTTTATTTCCATCTATCTATCTATCTATCTATCTATCTATCTATCAGTCTATCTATCTATCGTCTGTCTGTCTGTCTATCTATCTATCATCTGTCTATCTATCTATCTATCTGTCTATCTATCTATCTATCTGTCTATCTATCTCTATCTATCTATCTATCTATCAGTCTGTCTATCTATCTATCATCTGTCTATCTATCTATCTATCTGTCTATCTATCTATCTATCTGTCTATCTAGCTATCTATCAGTCTATCTATCTATCGTCTGTCTGTCTGTCTGTCTGTCTGTCTATCATCTGTCTGTCAGAGGTTATTTGAGGTAATACAGTTGTTGTTTTTTCTCAGGGGTCATGAGGCGTACTTAAGGACGGGGCCCCACTATGACTTCGAGCACTACAAACAGCTGGTACATGAGATAACGAAAGCATTCTGCGGCATTTCCAAAGAGGTTCTGCAGATTAAAGAGAAACTGCACCAAGACTTCGACCGGCCCGACCTCTCCGAACACATTGACAAACTGCAAATTAAAGAGAAGGAGAAACTAGAGCTGGTGGGCAATGGATTGTTTTAAAAAATTGTTTGGCTAATACTACACAATACTGTATAGTGTACACAGATTTGATCTATTTTAGATCTATTTTGCTTTTCATTCCAAATTTGATCAAATAATGAGTGATTAAACACTGAAGCTGCAAATACTTCACGTTGATTCATCAGGTTGGAAATGAAAACTTGAGTGCATTGCATTATGGGATACAGCATTTCAGGCAGTGCGCTGGGTCATTGAGATATTTTATAGGAATGTTTGGATGTGCACTGTCAAGCATATTTAGTTAGAAAGGTGATCAGTTAAACATTTCAGTCCTGCATAACTTAAATTAGCTTGTAAAATTATTTTTCTCATCCCTTCTGTATGCATAAGACTGAAACGGTATTGAACCAAATGTATCTGTTCTGTAATTGGTTACTGTATTCTTAATGTTTATCTATATTTATGATTTTGCAGACAGCTAAGTTACAGTTGGCCAAGCAGAATGCCCAGGATCACCCACAAGATGAGGATTTCCAAGAGAAAGTCCGTGAGCTCAAACAGGAGTAAGTGCAACTGTGTATATATATTTTGTATATTTTTAAAATGGTTTTATTTAATATTAACTTGTAATTTATATTTAATTAACGGCATTATTTTATATATTATATTGATTAGTAATCATGTGTAAAATTACATTTAATTATATAATTAATTAATATTAACGAATGAATGATGTGTGTGGGTGTGTGTACATTTTTAAAAATAGTATTAGAATCAACTATAAAAAATAGAAAGTATTTATTAATTATGCTTTAAATGTTTAGCTGTTTGTTTCTTGCATATTATTGACAAAATGTTAATTGATTAATAAAATAAATGAACAGGAGTAAGTGCAAGTTTTTCCTACACACCTGACAATGACAAGAAAATTGAGAAAAACTACTTAGAACACAACTGTATTTTTTGCATATTTTTAAAATGTAATTTAGTATTAATTTGTCCTTTATTTTAAGTAGCTTAATATATATATATATAAGAATTATGTGTCATTTATTTTTATTTTAATGACTCAATATATATTGTATCACTGTAATTCATTATTTTTTATATAGAATGTCATTTATATGTTATAGAATATCATTTAAATTATTTAAATGTTCAGAAAGTATTTATTAATTAGGCTACGCTCTATATTTATCACTGTATGTATCACTGTTGTAATGTTTCATCCTAGTTTTGATGTACAGTACTTGGTATATCAGGTTAATGGTTAACAGCTTTTGTTCTTCTAAACCTCCGAATGAAAAAACCCTTTCTGTTTCTCTCCATCTCTGTCAGTATCATAAAGAATACAGCCGCTTTAAGTGAGATTCTGCAAGACTTCAAGTATGACTCAGAGGAGCCGGAGTGAGATTCAGTCAGTCTCAGGAGACAGAGATGGATTCAGATCCTCTATGAACTTTCCTTTCTAATGAAGAGTCATCTAAGGTATCGATCGCTGTCTCAGGCGTTGCATAGACAGAGGGCATTGCTGCTGCTGATGCAGGCTTTGCAATGCATATTTTTATTAAAGAGAGTTTGGCATCTTTTATTTCATTATTTTTTATACATTCAGAATAGCTTATGACGTTTTGTTTGCTAAACCAACACAATGTTAATTTAAAGCATAGATCTGTTCATTCTGAATGTAAATAACGTTCATTATTATGTGCATAATAATAATAATCAGCAAAAGCTAATGTGTTACAATATATATGAGCATTCCTTAAATATTTTGAAGACATTTGTACAAACAAAACTATTTATACATAATGATACAGTATTTACATGATGTTTTTGAACACAGAGGACAAACAAATTGCATTTCAAATACCCATTTAAACTTGTGTGTTTAACAATTAAAGGGACAGTACACTAAAATGAAAAGTTTGTCATTATTCACTCACCCTCATTTCATTCCAAATCTGTATGAGTTTATTTCATATGTGAAAACTCCAAAAAGGACACAGAAGGACCATAAAGGGGTCCATGTGACTATATTCAGCCTTCTGAAGCCATATGATAGTTTTGTATAAGGTGAATTGGATCATTTAGTTAAATGAATTCAAGATTTGTGAATGAATTATTCAGATAGGCGCATTAACTGGAACTGCTGATTCATTCAAAAGATCTGGTTCCAAAGAACGATTAATTCAGAACATCACTAATTCTCTCATTAACTAGCTTTAGGACGGACGGATATCATGGTTTTCAGTGAATAACAACTCAAATTTCAATGTGTTTGCCACACAAAACTATTATATGACTTCAGAAGACTGAAGGAAAAGTTTTTCCCTTGCGTTTTTAAAAAGTTTCACGTATACACGACAACGTTTTCAAAACGATTCGCGTTTACACATATCCGCGAAAACGGCCATAAACGCTATATTACGTATGCCAGGCCAGTAGTTGGCGCTGTCACCTGGCCAAAAACGCTGTACCAGGCCAGCCAGGCCAGTAGTTGGCGCTGTCACCTTGTTAGTAAACAGTACCTGTAGGGAAGTGACGATTATATGATGTATATGATGCCTCTCTGCTGTTGGTTGTAATATTGGTGAAGTAAATCCACACTTTGCTGAAGAAGCGTTAGCAAACTCTTGAGCAGCATCAACACTACCATGTACTCCGCCATTGTTGTATATGTTTGTTCGCGCTTGCCTTTAAAATCGACACGTACTGCGTATGTCTACATTCCTATCATGTACTACGCACGCGCATGACGTCACCGTTTTCAAAGATTCCCGTATTGGGTGTTTACACGGAAACGATAACGGTGGCGTTTTCAAAAACTGGCACTTTGAAACCCGTTTTCAAAAATATGCAAACGCATAAAAAGTTTCCCGTTTTTGGCTGAGAACGATGTGTAAACGGCCACTCAATCCACTTGTTGTGTGTCTGCGAATGTCAGCAAAATGTAAATGTCCTTTTTTTGGATGACAGGTCAATGAGAATGAGAAAGTCTCCTATTATCTCCTTTAATGAAATTAATAAAACATTCCAAATTTTCTGAAACCAAATGATAGTTTTGTGTAAGAAACAATTATTCGCTGGATCAAGTCAAAGTCAATTGAACTCGAGACAAATCACTCCGATAGGTTTCGCAAACTGGATCAGCTGTTTCATTAAAAAGATCTGGCACAAAAGAACAATTTATTTATACCATTGCTAACTCTCTCATAAACGAAGTGAAGCGTGTCAGATGGATACATTTTATGACGATTTTACAATGCTTTTGTTCGTTTTGGAATTTTGCATTAGTTTCCATAAAGAGTAACTAAGTATTGTAATTAGTTATTTTTCAAGGAGGAATGTAATATTGTGATACATTACTTTTGAAAGTAACTTTGTAAACATACGTTGTTTACGTATGTGATACTCTCCAAAATGGCGCTATAGGAGACAAATTGTTGAATAAAGTCGTTATTTTTGTTTTCTTTGCGCACAAAGAGTATTCTCGTAGCTTCGTAAAATAATGGTTGAACCACTGATGACACATGGATTATTTTAACGATCTCCTTGCTACGTTTCTGAGCCTTGATCATGTTAGGATCCTTGTTGTCTATGGGAGGGTCAGAGAACTCTCGGATTTAATCAAAAATATCTTAATTTGTTTTCTGAAGATGAACGAAGGTCTTACGGGTTTGGAACGACATGAGGGTGAGTAATTAATGACAGAACTTCCATTTTGGGGTGAACTAACCCTTTAAATTTCAATCTGTTTGTCCTGCAAAAAAATAATATGACTTCAGCGAACATACGTTGTTTACGTATGTGATACTCTCCAAAATGGCGCTATAGGAGACAAATTGTTGAATAAAGTCGTTATTTTTGTTTTCTTTGCGCACAAAGAGTATTCTCGTAGCTTCGTAAAATAATGGTTGAACCACTGATGACACATGGATTATTTTAACGATCTCCTTGCTACGTTTCTGAGCCTTGATCATGTTAGGATCCTTGTTGTCTATGGGAGGGTCAGAGAACTCTCGGATTTAATCAAAAATATCTTAATTTGTTTTCTGAAGATGAACGAAGGTCTTACGGGTTTGGAACGACATGAGGGTGAGTAATTAATGACAGAACTTCCATTTTGGGGTGAACTAACCCTTTAAATTTCAATCTGTTTGTCCTGCAAAAAAATAATATGACTTCAGAAGATTTGGAATATAGTGTCAAATGGACAATTTTATGATACTTTTACAGTACTTTTGTTCATTCTGGAGCTTGGCAGCATCAGTCCTCGTTTACTTTTTTAGTAACTATCCCTTTAAGAGATTAATATTTAAATGCTCGTTTTTTGTTGTTGCTTACGAATTCTCACTCTTTGCTAATTAAATTTAGTTTGTAAAATCTGTCAGTTTTTGTCATTTTCGATCCACTTGTTGAGTTGCAAAGGTCCTTTTTTTGGATGAAAAGTCAATAAGAATGCGAGAATCCCCCATTATCTCCTTTTTAAAACATTTTATATTCTCTCTGTTTTAATGCCCTTATAAATAACATGTCTGAGACAAAAGCGCTTCCTTTGACGTATTTGATGGGGACTACAGCAGGAGGCAAACAGTAGATCATGTCGCCAAACGACAGACTCCTTGCAGATCCCTTCGGAGAGTCTTGGCTCATCCAAATGAAAGTCCCAAGCACTGGAGAGTGATAAAAACCTTGTCGTCGCAGGCCCCCGCAAACTCTCCCAAGCCTTCTTTAGAGTTTCACTATGATTTACTGCTTTGTAGTACCTGAAAGGCAAGACAATGGCATTTACAAGTGAATGTGATGAGTTGATATATGGGGACAGAGAAGCGTAATTGGTACCAGCCATTCTTGTGGCAGTTACATCGTGTTCTTCAAAGGACAGTGTGACTAATGAAGCGACCTAAGTTTCCCAACAGTCGTCAGTGCCAAAGCAACAGTAACCACTGAATCGGTTCAGAGAGCGTGCAGCGGATGTCGGTTAGCGTTCGAGAACGCCACACAAGACTTCTTGGGCTCGGTTGGTTCGCAGCTGAAGCTTTGCCGGTCAGTCTAACCTAAAAGGAATTTATTAGCATTCCGACTGATTACTTTGAGTGGCTGTTTCCTCTCTGTTGTGGTAACGTCTGAAGATTATATGATGCTTCGCTATTAGTAAACGCAATCAAATGTGAGCCTATTGATTTTTTTTTTTTTTTTGGTACAGGCCCTATACCATGTGTGCCAACAGTAATGATTTGTTGTCTTGATATGTGTCTCATAAGGAGGTGCGTTTTGTCCTTACTGACCTGGTCGTGTGTTTTCTGGGCTTTCTGCAGCCAGACGCGCCATTGGTCGTAGAGTTTAATGCTGACGTCGGTACAGCCATAAGAGTGTTTGCGCATCCAGCCGAAAAACTGCTTAAGCTCCTTTCGTAGCGTTGAGTTGTGCTCGCTGGGCTTCGAATCGCACGAGCCAATATGTGACCTGTCTGTTTGGGAAATGACAATGCATTAATGTGATATTAAATTAGAGTATTTAATATGGGATAAATCTATGTTTACCTACATACATTTTTATTTTAACATAATGTAATATATGAAAAACAACACATTTTTAACTGATGTGAGATGAATTGTTAAGTTTGGAAGAGTTTTTTATATTAATTATATATTGTAGTTTTTAATAACATTTTAATAATTTAATTTTTAATTGTTTTCTTTTTACTTTTTAATTTAAGATTTAGAAAATTTGGTTATGTGCTGTCATTTTATTAGTTTTTGTTTTTAATATTTCTATTTAGCCTTAGTTTTAGTCATTTTAGTGATATGGTGAGACAAGGATTGTCAAACTAGTCTAATGACACACTGTTTATAGGAAACTTAAAGGCGATATCCACATCCTTTCGTAGCGTGGAGTTGTGCTCGCTGGGCTTCGGCACGCACGAGCCAATATGTGACCTGTCTGTTTGGGAAATGACAATGCATTAATGTGATATTAAATTAGAGTATTTAATATGGGATGCATGATATATCAGGAGCATATCTGTTATCAAAATTAATATATATAATTCACTATATATATAATATAATATGTATGAATTCACTTAAATTTTTTAGATTTTAGTGTTTTATTTGGAATTTTATTAGAAAAGACTGTAAATAATTTTAATATTGGTCATTTATCAGCCAAAAAAAGAAAATAATCATCATCCTATCGGTAACAGTCTGAATTTTTATATTGGCGAATCTCTAATCTCAATTGTAGTTTTTAATAACATTTTAATAATTTAATTTTTAATTGTTTTCTTTTTACTTTTTAATTTAAGATTTAGAAAATTTGGTTATGTGCTGTCATTTTATTAGTTTTTGTTTTTAATATTTCTATTTAGCCTTAGTTTTAGTCATTTTAGTGATATGGTGAGACAAGGATTGTCAAACTAGTCTAATGACACACTGTTTATAGGAAACTTAAAGGCGATATCCACAACATTGCTGAATTTTAAGTCACTAGCAATATTGTGTATAATGTGTAAGTACATTGGGATTCTTCAATTTTGAGTCTATCACCCAGCTGTGTGTGGAGTACCCATTATTTGATTTTATTAAATTAGTGTCTACATATTTTAAATGTGAATCATCAGATAAATGCATTTGTAAGACATTTGTTAAATTCAACCCCAGTTGACAACAGTGTGCTGCTGATTGTACAGTGTTGCCCTGAGCGATGTGCACATACCCATGAATAATAGGCTATTAACCAGCTCTCTGCTAATGAGCTCCAAAGCATTAAACACAGAATGCAGGAGGGAGAGCTCAGACTTGCCATAACTCATATTGCTTGGCATAAAACAGAGCTTAATAACATCCTCTCTTTAATGCAAGACATGTAACATCATTTCTTACGAACCAAATCTGTTTCCACTAAGTTTCAGGTCGACCGCCCCTTTAATCTGAACATGCTCTAAAGACTTTTTTAATTTATTCATCTAAAAAAAGTCCAAAGAATTCATCAATTGTCCCCTAAAGCGCTCTGACATTTTGCTGAAGTCTTTTGAATCTACTTGTGAGAGATCTCTATCAAGTAGCTTGATGTTTTTTCAGTGTTAACATATGGTTTGAATCTAATTAGCTTGTGATGCAGAAGCCTAATGTGAAGTAAAGGGACACTGCATTATTACGTTTTGATGAAACTTACCAATGCCAGGTGTCGACGCGGCGGTCGAGTGGCTCCAGTCGCTCCAAATACCTGCTTTCTTCGAGCCGTAGATGCCTATCGGGTTGCAGCGTACCTGGACGAAATACACTGTACCGGCCCTGAGACCTGCTAACCGACAAGACGTCTGGTTCCCAGCATCATCTATGACCTCATGAGAAATAG